TTGGAAGACTACCCACTATTGGCCTCTTAAGTTCGATGTTCAGTCTTCATTTTCCACTTTAATTTCGGTGTACAAATGACTCCCAAATACTTAGCACAAGAGGAAAGAGAAGGCATATGTCCATTCAAGCGAGGTACGTTGAAATTTAGAAACTTTCGCATTGTAGTAAATAATAATAGTTCCATCTTCGAGGGGTTTACATTGAGCCCGCATCTGTATGTCCAAGAACTCCATTCTCCTAGTGCTTTTTAAAGAATTCCGCTTGTCACATTTAGGCACAACCCGGATACCGCAATCCCTACATCGTCACCGTTCGCGGCAACCTTAAACCCATCCCCGTTGAGTCTTAGAAGAATGTTGTTTAAAGCCGCAGCAGCGGTGACAGTACACTGCTTTTTGTGTTCCTCGTTTAGGGTGACTGATGACTTCGCTGTTGCCTAGTTTAGCTTTTACAATCCTTCTGAGAAGCATAGTTGAAATCCAGTCTATCAGGAAGTTCTCAATCCTCAGAGCAACTTCTCTCTCTCCCTAACCCTCCTTCTATGTCCATAAAAGCCGCCAACGTATACAGTTTATTTTCGACTGAAGACACCACCTTATATGCAACCTTATGGAGCACAGATTCAGTAATGCTGAGCAGTAAACAGTTCTCAGTTGCCCATCTTCGAACAATGTGCCTAGTAGTATCTCGAAGGTTTTTAGTCCTTAGGCAGGATATGTCCGCACTTGCCTCCCTTTGGAATGAACACTATATATTTGGCGGTTATTGCTCGATACGTAAATAAATAAATAAGTTTTTATTAGGACCGGAAGAGGAGCTAAGAGCTCGGAGCGAAAAAAAAATATCGGAGCGGAGCTAGAGCGGAGCGATGAAAGAGATGTTTATTACAGTTATCATGAGACGGTGCACATATGTACATATATATGTGGTTATAGGTATGGGATTTGTGGTTGCGCGGAGCCTATGACAAAGTACATACTAAGTAAGTTCAACAAGTTTAGCCTTATCTGTGCGAACATGCCAAAATTCTTATCATGATTCATGTTATCTATTAGTAAAGCACAAAATGATCATCTCATAACTCGCCCATGTCTTTGTTAAATTAAGAGAAATTCGGCAGGGAAGTGGTAAGGACCACCATAATTATTACGTGATTACACATATGTAATTCCCACTACTGGAGCTGACAGCCTACCAGCTGAACTCTTCAAGTATAGCGGCGTTCTCTGCCCAATCCATAATAAAGGCGATCGCGCCATTCGCGCCAACTGCCCGGGATCAGCCTTCTAAGCATAGGTCACCAGGTCTTATCGAGTTATCGAGCATATAATGTGAAAGATCGAAACCCACCGGCACCAAACTGATTGGGTCATATCAGTCTCTGGCTTTAGACCCGGAAAATCTACCATAGACCAGGTATTAACAATACGCCAAATCTTGGAAAAGACACGCGATAAGCAAGATTTACGGGCCTTTGCGCGTTGGCGATGGCGAATACCGCAGACGATTTAACGACGAGCTGATATACAAAAATCTTATACCAGCTTATGCATGGATTTGAAATTTAAGACCTGACCACCAATTCTTTGAACTCTACAGATATTTCCGAAAATATATTCAATGATGCGACGGAAGTTAATTTTAGCAAAGAATGACAATTATGATTACGCACCTGTGTGGGGAGTCCACATACTCGTATACACACATAGGTACATATGTGTGTGTGTATGGATATTAGGGTATCCCAGAACAAAAATGGTGAACTTTTTCTGAGCAAATTCGATATATGCAGGTACATACGCACAAAGGTATATTAAATAGGTAGCAGCATTAGTGCATAAAGACCATGCCCGATAACTTATAACTTTGCCAGCAAAGCGCAAGACACAAAAGGTATGTCACAATAAACGCTAAGGAAACGAATTCGTACTGCTTGTTTACTCCTGAAAATTGCTGTGGATTTTATTTGGTTTTAAAAATATCAGCAATGTAATTAATTTTTTGTTTCTGCATGCAAACTCGAATTCGAACTAAACAAAATAAAAATTAAACCAGCTGATGGTCAACGCGCAGCTAAAACGATCTATGTGGCATGCTTCGTACATTTGCATACATTTTATCTTATCTGTCAAAGCGAACCTGTCACGCAAAGCGAAGCTAGCGTTTTATATGGCATAGCCTTAAACAACAAGCTGCTTGTATATTGTAAATTTGTACTGTCAAAAAAGTAAACAAAAACTGACACTGCGGAGTAAAATTTATATAAAAATTACAACTCATGGCCCACTTCGAATGAAAAAATAAATAAAGTTGCAAACCTGCTGCTGCTACTTGTTTAATGTGCCTTGATACCCACTATATTTCCATGATTTTGCCATAAATCCAATCTCCAAAAGCCATTCAAGGTTAAAATCGAACATATAAAAAATTGTACGTTTTTTTTAATTTTCGGCAAAATGTTAAAACTTATCACTAACAGCCGGTTTCACCAGCAATTTATATAAATTTCCATATAAAATTAAAAAAATTTAAATCATTTTTCACTTAAATTGTTTTAGTGAAATTGGCTGTAAATATCATAAAATTTTTCTTGGAAATTCAAAACTTTTAATTTTCTTAAAAAAATACATTTAACCAATTCTGAATTGTAGGCTAACGCCACCAAAAATTTTCTTATTACTTAATTTTAGCAATTTTTTAATAAAAATAAGATTTAATCTTAAAAAAAAAGCAGTATAAATCCAAGTTTTAAACTTCGCACAATATTAAAAACAGCAACAAACTTTCGTAAAAATTACGAGCTTGGAAAGATTCTGAGTATTCTGAGTATGCAGTTTTATAGCCCATTTTAGTATAATAAAGTGCAAGTTTAAAGTAGCTTTGACTTACCGTTGATTTTTTACCTTTTTTTTCTTAACGGTGTCAGTCATCTTCTTCCATACGATATTGAGTGAGAAGTTCTAACATTCGAAGTCGCTGGCTCATATCCCAGTGACCGCGGTTAAAGAAGTCTGATGAGGAGATGTAGTGATCTCAGAAATAGCAGCAACAACTTTTACCAGATGTAAATTATTGTTGTTTCTCCACAACATTTTTTTATTAAATACGGCCTCAAGCTCAATAAAAATTGTTGTATATAATTGTTATTAGGCCAAAAACAACAAAAAAATAAATAAAAAATTTTCCGAAAATTAAAAAAAAAAAATCTTTAAATTTTTTATATGCACGACTTTATCCTCGAATAATTTTTAAAGGAATAAAGAGTTTTTTACAGCATTCAATTGCCTTCAATAATATATATATATCGCTCATTCCGATACGTTGACTTAAAAAAAAATGATTGCATTTTCAAAATTCAGAACTTTTTTCCTGTGTTATGCTAGATTTCCACTAGGCATTAAATGGCTAAAATGACAAATGATAAAGTCGGGCATTAAAAAATAACCGTGTCATTACAATAACAAAATAATCATTAAGTTCATTTCCACATGGCATTTTTTTAAATAGTAGTGGAAATTCGGCATTATTTATGTATATGGAAAATATAAATTCGCGATGATCGACATCTAAATCTTAATATTAATGGCTGCACTTTTGACACGCGCCCTTTTCACTGTCCCGAAAATATTTCACAAGGGATTTTGAAAAAAAAAGAAAAAATTTTTCGAACCGGTCTAATATACTTGTACTACATACAAACATATGTACGTTTTATGATTTGATCGTAAAACAAATCGATGACTGTAATGCGCTCATTGATAATGAAAACACAGAGTAGATACGATAATGTTTTTGCCATATAATTATAAAGTTAGTTTGCACAGTGATAACAAAAATTCCAAAAGCTGGAAATCGGTGACACATATTTTGAGAAGTCAAGAGATATCTTCCTTAGATAACAAAAGAAAAAATTTAGAAGTCAGCTTACAACAGTTACACATATATTTTTCATTTCTTAAGAATGTTTTTTTTTATCTTAAAAGGCTTCCAATTTTTGTACGAGAACCCTATTGAATTTATTCAAAATGATGAAGGCCGAAATATGTACATTAGGGTGCATCACTCTCCATAAAAAAAACACGGTACCGTTTTTCCATTGGTATTATAAAATTTGTCATATTTTAATGGCCTTATTCATAAAAAATAAAGTAGCTTTATAAAAGGTTTATTAATTGAAAAATGTATGCAAACGTCAATTTATAAAGCTCTTTAAGCCAACTTTATTTTTTATGAATAAGGCCATAAGACTTTAGCCGAAATATTTTGGAAAAATATCAACTTTTACGTGAGCCGGACTTATTTGAATGTAAATACCACCAAAAATCTAGGTTTTTATAAAGAAATTTCGTTTTTTTAAATAATTTTTCTAAAAAATTACCTGAGATCATAGAAGAGCTTAAGCCTAACCGGTCTGCATACCAATTTCTTATATTTTATCAACGGAATCAAAATAACGAGATTTTTGGAGGTATGTTCAAAAGGGGCCAGCTCACGCAAATCTTAATATTTTTCCGACATATTTTGGCGAAAGTCTTTTAAAATATTATAAGTTTTATGATTCCGATGGAAAAGGCGCTACTTTTCTTGGTGATGCACCCTAATGTCCATGTACATATACATACATATACTTAAACTTCCACAAAAAAAAAGATACGTACCTACAATTATAGGATTATATCCATTCTCCAGCGCCGCTTCCTTTGCCGATATGCGAAAGTAAGTTTCGCAAATTCCTTGAACTAAACCAGCGAAGGTCAGCGCCAAAACAAAGGTACGCAATCGTGCCATTTTGAGGCATTGTGGGCCATTACAGCAGCCAAATAATTTTATGCCAC